TTCATCCATCTATCTATCTATATCTATCTATCTATCTATCTCTCATCTCTCATTTATTCATCTCATTCATCTCTATCGATATCTGTATGCCATTCATCTATCTATATCTATCTATGTATATTCATTCTATCCATTCATCTATCCATCTCTATCTATCTCCATCTATATCCCCTATATCTATCTCTATCTTCATCTATCTATCTATCTCATCTATATTCTATCATCCATCTATCTATCTCTCATCTATATCTATCTATCTATATCTATCTCTATCTATATTCATCTTCATCTATATCTATCTATCTACATTCATCTATCTATATCTCCATTTTCATCTATATCCATCTATCTATATCTCTCTATATATATCTATATCTCTATCTCTATATATATATATATATATATATATATATATATATATATATATATATATATATATATATACAAGTAAATCACTGTAGGTGCGTGATTTAGGTATATGCTGATAACCACAAGAAGAAGAAACACGAAGTCTCAAACGCTTTCTGTGTATTCACTCTTAGTGAGTACAGACTAGGTTTTCTTCTTTCCTTGTATTCAGCATATATATCTATATATATATATATATATATATATATATATATATATATATATATACTATATATATATATATATATATATATATATATATATATATATATATATTATCTATGTATATTTTCTTCCATCTTATATATACATAAATATTTTATATATATATATATATATATATATATATATATATATATATATATATATATATATATACATTCCTGCATATATTCATCTATCTATCTATCTCCTACATAAATATATATATATATATATATATATATATATATATATATATATATATATATATATATATGTATATTTCTGTAAATCACAATGAAAACGTGATAAGATTCTGATATCAATGGTGGTCGTTTAGTTTCGTTTTGTCTCAGACATCTTCAGAGTGACTGAACAAAGACGAGTTAAAGCAATCGTTGTTTCCATTTCCTGTGTGATTTTTATTATATATATATATATATATATATATATATATATATATATATATATATATATATATATATCTACTGTATATATCTATCTCTCTCTATCTATCTATCATCTATCTATATATATATATATATATATATATATATATATATATATATATATATATATATATATATATATATATATGTGTGTGTGTGTGTGTGTGTGTGTGTATATATATTGTGTTGCCAAAGTAAGAGAAGCAATTGAAACCCTGCATTTGTGTCTAATTGAAGCAGAAAGTAAGATGAGCAACCTGGGACTTGGCCAAATTTTTTTTTGTTTAATGAAAGGATGAAAAAATGGGCTTTATTACAATAATCACAATATCTGTATTGACACTTTTCTACAAGCGTAGAATAACTTCTTGCTTTTTCATTTGTTCCAACAAATATACAACAAAACTTTGAAAAGGTAGTATTTTTACTATTTGCATAATCATTACTATTCCCTCTATTGTTCCTGTTATTAACACCATTGTTAACATCTTGGATGTGGTTATCAATACCGATGAATGGAACAAGTTACCAAATATCATCATTAACTCGAATACGCTGAATAGCTTCAAACATAGGTTGGATGCTCATATGAGCGATAGGGGTTGGGTGTAAACGGGACTGCCCAGTATGGGCCAATAGGCCCGCTGCAGTTTCCTCCATTCTTATGTTCTTATATAGGCACTGATATCAAATAAAATAATAATTATAATTTGTAATATCATTGCTATAACTACTTTTTTATGTAATTTGCTCTTTATTAATACTGTCCTCCTAAAATGAGTGAGACAAGACCATGAAACCGAGTGTCACATTTTGTATAGTACCGTATACTCTGATGCGTTTAGCGCGACTAGGAAACGGATAGACTCAGCACAGACATGTACGTTTAAATGACTGATACAAAATGTATGCAGTGACACTCTCCACAGTGATGCCATTCTGCTAGTTAGTTAACATGCGGACCTACAGGACATGCTTTACGGTAAAAAAGTGATTACTAAACAACAGGGAATACATAAAACTCAGTCCAGTAATCATGGCAGTCAAATAATTACTCCCATAACAAAAACACTAACATTTTTTAACACGAGAAACTCACGTGATCTGGGCTGCCGAGGCGCGCTGCCACCCACACAAATTTACTTTACTTTTTATCCGCAATCATCTCTGAAGTTGTTTACCAAAAAGGAACTTGTGTAATTTGTTACTTGATCACATAACATCAGTCGGTTTCAAAATGCAACAAAAAATTCAAACTTTAAACATGTTTTGGAGATACTTTTACCTTCTGGAAGCTGGCGTTTAGACGCAGCGCCACGATTGGCTCCCCGCTGGGGCGTGGCAACAGATGCTCGCTCCCTGCCCCTGCTTAGTGGAGACCTCGCCTGGGCATGATCGAGACGGAGAACACAAGAAGTCAGTATCACTAGCGTCAGTATAAGGTAAGTTAGAAGATAATTTACGCTACGTATTCTTAAGTAACAGGGAAAAGTAGACTGTGATCACGACAAAAAGAATAAATACTGGGCACATCAAGGAACAAGGTGGAAAGAGAGATTAGACAGATATTCAGTGAAGTTGCCAAACTAGTTCACGTTGGTTCAACAAGTCCACAGGCAGTGCAGGTGTACAAACAAGGATCGACAGACAGTCAATTACACCAAAAGGATAACCCAAAGAAAATAAACGAATCTCAAAGTCGTCTGTTTTGAAGCCGTTTAGTAACGCTCTTACCCCATCCAGTATAAAATTGCGTTGTCACCACAAAAAAAAATATCCATAGATCTTTATTATTAAGCTATGTGCCGTATTTGTGTCTGTCAGGTCGTTATTTGTATATGCAACTACAACTGTTAATCTTAAAACGTGACAACTAAAACGTTTCAATCAGGGAATTCTAGTGGGCCATACACGTATGACGCCCAAACACTGTCTTCTGTAACATACTATATTCTTTCAATGGCATCTGCTTTGCTTGTGTGGAACAACGAATTCCTTTTATAGGACACTGTAGAGTGACTCACTGTATTCTTTACTTGTATGTAGCACAGCATTTTTTCTGAAGGATATTATACACCTTTTCTGGCCTGTTATATTCCTTTTGTAGCACAGTTTCCTATTGTAGTACTGTACATACTCACACTGTCCACCACCCCAAGAGTACACACACACACACTGTCCACCACCCTCCATGCTAGGGATGGGGTACACCTGTCTCGGGATGGGGTGGCAACCCTGACTGGGTCTCTAGAGGAGGCAGTTCAAAAGATATCGAAGTCTTTAAACTGCTAGGGGAACATATGGGCACGGGGTTGGAGGAGACTGCAGTGGGAGAGGGTAAACAAAGTGAAAGATTACAGGGAAATAGTGTTAGGAATGATGACAAAAATAAATTAGACAGGGAGTTTAAACCTAAACTCGGTAAAGGGAGGACTCAGAACACGACTAACTTAAATGTCTACTATGCGAACAGTAGAAGTATGAGAAACAAAATGGATGATACTAGGGCCTTGGTATGTACCGAAAAAATCGATATAATAGCATTCACTGAAACATGGATCAACCTAGACTCATGTGAGTTACGGTCGAATACCAAATTGCGGGTTACAAATTGTTCCATACCGATAGGCAGACCAGGAAAGGAGGCGGAGTAGCAATCTATGTCAGGGATAATCTGAAGTGTGAAATAAATAAGGAAATAAAAGCTGAGCGGAATACAGAAACAATTTGGATAGAATTAATCGATGGTTGGGAAAAAATAATCACAGGAGTAATATATAGACCTCCCAATCTTGATAGAGTAAATGAGCGACTTATCTGGGATGAAATGCGCAGGGCTTCCATAAACAACAAAGTCTGTATAGTAGGCGACTTTAACCTTGGCCAAATAGATTGGACTGACCTTACAGGTAACTCAGAATCAGAGGATTTTCTCGAAACGATACAGGACTGTTTCCTAAGTCAACATATAACCGAACCCACGCGGGGTAATAATATACTCGATTTAGTTCTGTCGAACAGAGAAAACCTCATTAGCAATGTCGAGGTAGGGAACAAGTTTGCAAACAGGGATCACAAAGAAATTAGATTCCAGTTAGATTTTCAGGGCACACGGAAGGAAAATTCCACTAAAGTCCCAGATTTCAGAAGGGCAAACTTTGACAGTTGAAGAGGCAGCTGAGGGAGGGGGTGTTGCACTTGGGGGTGAGCTACATGACCTCACATGAGGTGACCTCACTCAATGCACCCACAGAGGGCGACCTCACCATACCAGGAGACCTGACGGTTGAGACTGACCTGTTAATGAGATCTGAGATTGCCGAGTTCCACGACAATTTAAATAATGAGTTACTTAATGCACAAAGGCGGAACATACCATACAAAAAACTCAGATCAGACAACAATGACCCTATAAGTAGAAGGATAAATCGTGGCGAAATTTACCTCCAGGATTATTATAAGGTATTGGCGAGTAGGGTTAAAACCGAGATAAGGAAAGCTAAGAGGAATAATGAGGTAAGGATAGCAAGGGAGGCGAAGACAAACCCCAAAGGATTCTACCCAATGTATCAAACTAAAACACGAGAAAAGATTGAACCAATACAGCCAGATACCGGCAAGCTAGCTGATAACGACGGAGAAATGAGCAATACTCTGAATAAATATTTATCAACAGTTTTCACCACCGGAAATATAAACATGATACCCGAGACACCGACTCTATTCGGAGATAGTGAAGAAAACAAATTAAGCGAGACAGTAGTGACTAGTAACGATGTTAGTAAGCAAATAGACAAACTAAAGCCTGATAAGTCACCTGGTCCCGATGAGATATTTGCCAGAGTATTAAAGGAATGTAAGGAAGAGCGTAGTATGCCCTTAGCAAAGTTGTTTAACATGTTCTTAAAAACAGGTGTAGTACCAGAATCCTGGAGGATAGCGAATGTAATACCGATTTTCAAGAAGGGATATAGATCACTATCCTCTAACTACCGCCCAATCAGTCTAACATCAATAGTGGGCAAATTACTGGAAGCAATCATTTCAAACGCTATTCGAAATCGCCTGGAGAAGCACAGATTGATCAATGATTCCCAGCATGGCTTCATAAGCGGGCGTTCATGTCTAACTAGTCTATTAACATTCTTTTCATCAGTTTTCGAATCGGTGGACGAGGGGCACAATTATGATGTGGTATATCTCGACTTTAGCAAAGCCTTCGACAGAGTCCCCCACGAAAGACTAATTAGAAAGGTAGAAGCACATGGCATCAAAGTTAATATCCTTAAATGGATTAGGGCGTGGTTACAGGACAGGAAACAGCGAGTGAGCATTAACGGCACTAAATCCCATTGGAGCAACGTCACTAATGAGTTCCCCAAGGCTCACTACTTGGACCATTATTATTTATGATTTACATAAACGACATAGATATCGGCATAGGCAGCAACATAAGTAAATTTGCTGATGACATTAAAATAGGACGTGTTATTAAATCTGACGAGGACTCCGCAAAACTATAGGAAGATCTAAACAAATTTTTCGAATGGTCTGAAAAATGGCAGATGAAATTCAACGTGGACAAATGTAAAGTACTCAGTATAGGAGATGTAAACAGGGAAACCAGTTACCAGATGAACAACGATGCCATTGAGAAATCCGACTGCGAAAGAGATTTAGGAGTAATGATAAGTAGGAACCTTAAGCCAGGTAAACAATTTGTTTTTGCTCGTAACAAGGCTAATAAAGTACTTGGGATTATACAAAGGTGTGCTACTTACAAGACTAGAGTGGTCATCCTAAAACTGTATCTTGCGCTTGTGAGACCACACCTGGATTACGCAGTTCATTTCTGGTCACCGTATTACAGAATGGATACAGAATCCTTGGAAGGAATTCAGAGGAGAATGACAAGACTAATCCCTGGCATTAGGAACCTTGAGTATAGAGACAGGTTAAAGCATCTTAATTTGCACTCCCTCGAGAGACGTAGAGGGAGGGGCGACCTGATAGAGGTGTATAATTGGAAGTCAGGGCTAAACAAAGGGGACATTACAAAGGTACTCAAACTATCCAACCAGGAGCGAACTCGTAACAATGGTTTTAAATTAGACAAATTTAGATTTAGGCGCGAAATAGGTAAACACCGGTTTGGAAACAGAGTAGTGGATGAATGGAACAAGTTACCAAATATCATCATTAACTCGAATACGCTGGGCAGCTTCAAACATAGGTTGGATGCTTATATGAGCAATAGGGGTTGGGTGTAAACGGGACTGCCCAGTATGGGCCAATAAGCCCGCTGCAGTTTCCACCATTCTTATGTTCTTACACTGTACACCACTTCCAGAGTACACATACACACTATCCACCACCCCAGAATACACACACTGTCCAACACCCCCAAATTACACACACAAACTGTCCACCACCCCCAGAGTACACACACAAACTGTCCACTACCCCCAAGGTACACACACAGACTGTCCAACACCCCCAAAGTACACACACACACTGTCCAACACTCCCAGAGTACATACACACAGTCCATCACTCCTTGAGAACACACACACATAGTCCACCACTCCTTGAGAACACACACACATAGTCCACCACCCCCAGAGTACACACACAACCGTCCACCAACCCAAAGCACACACACACACACACACACACACACACACACACACACACACACACACACACACACACACACACACACACACTGTCCAACACCCCAAAGTACACACACACACCTGTCCAACACCCCAGAGTACATACACACAGTCCACCACCCCAGAGTACACACACACACACACACACTGTCCACCACCCCAGAGTACACACACACACACTGTCCACCACCCCAGGTACACACACACACACACACACACACACACACACACACACACACACACACACACACACACACACACACACACACACACACAAACCGTCCACCACCCCCAGAGTGCACACACACACTGTCCACCACCCCCCAGAGTACACACACACACACACAAATCTGTCCACCCCCAGAGTACACACACACACACACTGTCAAACACCCCAGAGTACATACACACAGTCCACCACCCCCAGAGTACACACACACACACACACCATCCACCACCCTCAGAGTACACACACACACACTGTCCACCACCCCGAGAGTACACACACACACAAACTGTCCACCACCCTCAGAGTACACACACACACACAAACAAACTGTCCACCACCCTCGAAGTACATTCACACCACCACATGGTATGGGTGTATGAACAGGTGACCTTAATCAGTAAGCGAAATTTCAGGTTTGGGCTCATTACTGATGCCGGGGTGGCGGGACGAGGTATCTGGCCACTGTCCAGGCTGGCCACACCTCACCACCTTGCCCTACTCCGTGTCCCATTGTCCTGAAATGTGTCCCTTTGTCCAA